GACGTGTGTTCTCCTGACGTAGACTCTCCTGACGTGTGTTCTCCTGATGTAGACTCTCCTGACTGGTGTTCTCCTGTCGTAGACTCTCCTGACTGGTGTTCTCCTGACGTAGAATCTCCTGACTGGTGTTCTCCTGACTGATGTTCTCCTGACGTAGACTCCCCTGACTGGTGTTCTCCTGACGTAGACTCTCCTGACTGATGTTCTCCTGGCGTAGACTCTCCTGACTCGTGTTCTCCTAATGTTTTATGTGAATTAATAATCAATAACGTGTTTTCATTTTCAGATATAGCCGGAGTGTCGGTGGATCAATGTCAGAGTCGCTACGAAGACATGAAGAAGAAAAGTCACATTAACGAGAAACTCTTCAGTGCTCAATTTATCAACGCAGACTGTTCCAAGGTAGTACAACACCACCTAGATCAGTTCACTACTTTATCTATGTAGAACAACACCGCCTAGATCAGTTCACTACTTTATCTATGTAGAACAACAACAGCTAGAGAAGTTCACCCCTAACATTATCCTTGTCTCCACAGGAGGTTTTGTCAGAGAAGCTGGATGACCCAGAGCTGCTGTTTGACATCTGTAGCTGTCAGTTTGTTTATCATTACTCATTTGAGAGCGAACAGAAGGCCGACATGATGTTGAGAAATGCCTGTGAGCGTCTGAAACCTGGAGGTTACTTCATAGGAACGACTCCTGACGCCTTCGAACTTGTGTAAGAACAAACATTTATCTATAACACTACTCTGTTTCCTGCTGTGTTCTGCCAGGAGCTTCAATGACTGATGGTGTTTTTAGATGCTGTGGTAATGATGAATTGAATACTTTCTAAACCTGTATAGAGCTTGTTAATGTAATTCAGATTGTATATGTAGAAATACACTGACATAAGTTTAGATAATGCCTCTCTTTTTCTTTTCTGCTCATCCTCCACAGTAAACGTTTGGAGGCGTCGGACTCTCTGTCGTTTGGTAATGAGGTTTTTAAGGTTTCCTTTCAGTCCAAAGGTTTCTATCCACTGTTTGGGTGTCAGTATCACTTTAGCCTCGAGGACGTTGTCGATGTTCCAGAGTCCCTCGTCTACTTCCCTCTTTTTGAACAGTAAGATCATATTATTAGTAATAA